ATTTAATATTTATTAATGTTAGTAATAATTATTTTTTATTAATATTTTATGAGTAATTAACATTACATTTGTTAATTAATAGTAATAAATAACAATTGATATTTGTTAGGGTTATAATTGGAAGAATAAACTGACTTGATTTTCATAAATACTCCCTATGTGGAAAATGAGAGTTCAATCATTTTATTATCGGTCTGTCTTTTTTGATATTGGAAAATGTAGTTTTTGATTATCCTGACTATATTTTTACTCAAACATAAATTTTGCATTTCATTTTCAATTATAAGTTGTAAAACTATAAATCGTCAATTAACGCATAACTCGGTCTTTGAAATGCAAGAACAACAATATACTTTATTGTTATTTTATTTCAAAATATTTGACGAATGGAACATTTTAACTTCAAATTTATAAATCGTCTTATTTAATTATGATTTAAAATCACAACAAAACTAGCATCGAGTGGAACGAGAAATAAAAACAAAATTTGAAACAATATTGCTATTTCGGGTTCATAATCGAAATGATTTATGTATGGTGGCGCATGTGTACATTACTAGTTATTATCAAACAATGTGATTATTTTGAAAAAGATATTAGTAAGCAACGAACCTAACTACAAAATATGATTGTTTATAATGCATTGTGTACGAATTTTGATGCGTTTTGACTCGTTTCTTTGACTATATTATCCAATTAATTGGTTAGATTTGAGATATAATTAAAATTGATCACTTTTAGACAAACAAAATAATATTTAAATATAACATCACATCACATGGTGGAGATTAGTTTAATGTATTTGGTAAAATAAAACTTTATTTTTGGTCCTTCTGGTTTTATGACTTGTTCAATTTTGGTTCTTAGAATTTATTGATTGCAAATTTGTAACTACAGTTTGTACTTTTATTTGATTTTGGTTGCTTCTAGACTAGTAATGGGGGTTGGTTAAATTTAGTTGTTAAGCGAGGGCATTTTGGTCTTTTTTCCTGCTTTTTGTATATTACTTATTTCCTTTTCAAAAAATATATGTAATTATTAATATATATGTATATACATATACATGCAATCCTCTTCCCCCGACCCCCTACATACCAACATGCATTAAAAGTTTTGATTCACCGTTGGAAACTCATCCCTTCAAAAAACTTTAAAGGGTTTGATTTGTAATAAGCAAATTGTAAAGACCAAAATCAAAAAATTCAAAAAACACAGGGACCAAAAAGAAGTCTTTTAAGTACTTTCAAATAGACTCCATACGGATACGGAACACCCCCTAACCTTTGCCATCAGTTGGAAAGCAGTCCTCTAAGTTTTCACATTTATTTATTTATTGATGTTTTAATATAAAAATGCATTCGCACATGCACATGTATCTTGTTAGATTTTGAACACCTTGTATTTTGGTTCATGGGTTATTTATAAAAAATGATTTCTAATTACGATGTGATATGTATATGTATATATATAAAGTTGTATGTATTGAAAATTACCCTTCTTCTTCTTGTTGTTGTTAATTATTCATATATCCTTTTTTTCTCTTGACGAATTAAAGGAAAGAAACTTTGATACCAAGTAGTGCATTAACACATGATTAATTAATAGCAGTCTTATATATATATATATATATATGTATGTGTGTGTGTGTGTTTTTATTTATTTATTTAAGAATTAGAAGCTATTTATATATATTGAAAAATACAAAAATAATGCATGTATATGTATTGTGTGTTATAGTTGAGTTGGGTGAAGAGATGCATCTTTCCAACTAATTTTGCTACTTTTTTCATTAATTACTACATCATTCAATAAAAAGAAGTTGCTATATTATATTATATCAACTTCTTAAATAAGATATGACAAATATTAAGATAAAGGTAATAATAAGGTTGAAATTTAAGTAAAGAAATTGAAATTATGGAATATTTATATTTATATATGTTGGCGTAAAGATGAATGAAGGAAATTAATGGCTTTGGTGAGAAGCAATCTATATATATATATATATATATATATATATATATATGAAATGCTTTTTCAGAATTCCATACCACTCACCCACTAAAAGAATCATATGCTAAATTATATGTATATATAGTATATTCTTTCTTTAATTAGTTTATTATATAATATAATGTTTTTTTTTAGTAAAATGAATTTGTAAGTGTGAATGACAAAATAAATGAAATTGCAGCTGAAAGTCATGTATATATATATGGTGATGAAATGCGAATTGATGCAATGAAGAATACAACTACTGAAAATTAGCTATTCCTTCTAGTTTAATTCCTGAAAATCATCATTTTATCAGCTACAATTTGATTTAAAACTACTCTAAATCAAAACTCATTTTGTTGTCTTGTCTTTTAGGAGGTTACTTTTCTTGACATCTGGCATTTCAATGTTGATGGCTAGCTCACCACTTTGCAAGTCATAGTCATGTTGAGTGTTAATTTATAAGTGGAAAAAACAAAGAGAAAGAAGAAGAATAAAGCTTTATATATCCTTTTTTTTTTTTTTAGCATGTGGTTCTTTGTTGTATTACATGAGTAATTAATAAGACATCAATCAGATTGTCTTAATTTTATGAAATGTGCAGTCATGTAGTTGGTGTGTTTTTTATATCAAGCATTATGTTGGCTCATCCTTGTTTCCTCGACATTCCGTTGGAGTAGTTTTGGAAGTCTAATGTCCAAAACAGTAGTGTCATTCTTGACATACACCTCCATTTTCTTCCAGTCTGTGTTGTCAGGCAATTCTAGCCTCCGGACGAAGCCATCTTCCCACCACTTGCCACTTCTCCAGTCTGTTGTTCTTGATTCTCCATGTTTCTTCCATAGCCCACTAATCTCTATAACCTTCCCATTCTCAACACAAATTCCAAGACTGCTTTTTTCTATTTCTGTTGCAATCAAATAAGCTAATATACTGATCAAGGGAGTACTGTTCTTAGTTGTCCAAAAACACTAGTTCTAACATCTCTTGACATATAGAAGTAGTCAACATATATATATATATATATATATATGAGAGAGAGAGAGAGAGAGAAAATCAACTTAATTATTTGGTTCTTGATCATGCATGATCAGTTATAAACATGTTGTTTATTAAAATTTCTAGTCAGCATACATGTTTGGTATATTTATATATATTGAAGAGCTGTAAAGACTTACTTGGCAGTTGTGATATTAGAATACAAGATGCATCTGTTTGAAACCAATCCACACAAGGGTTGTGAAGATGAGACAACAGTACAGCCGGTTCAAATTCCCATAGCGGAAAGGCATCTGATGGATCAAAGAATTTTGTAAACAATAATGGGCCAAACAATGATTTATGACCAAAAACCCTATGCACGATTGGACCCCCTTTCGCCATAAATGCAGCAAAAACATCTTCCTTGAGAGGAACACACCATTTATGTGGAGATTGGTGATCTTCTGATGTTAAAACTTCAAGTTGTATGTTGGTCATTAATTGTAAAAAGAAATGAAACAAAGTTGAATTTAGTTTAGATGTTGAGCTTTCTTATATAGCTTTCTTAAAAGTTAGAAGAAAGAACATATCCCCATGGGAATATATGGAAAACTGTAAAGTTAATTGTAGGAATATTTGGTTTTCTTTCCAGATATTTCATATAGACTTGAATTTATTGGGAGGATAGATGATTATAAGACATTCATGCATCTTATATAAACTGATCAGATCGAAGTTATATATCATCTAGATCACAATATAATTTTCACACACATACATATATATATATATATATATATATATATTATTCATATAAGAAACAAAGAATCTGGGATGATGGCATTTCATTAGTGGCCTTGTCTTCTATGAACAGCAACAACATTTTCTTGGCGACTTTTTGGCTATTTTAGATTCTTCATTAAAGGTAGTCAATGGAACTAATCACCGTAGCTAGATTTTTGGTCCCTTTCTTTATATAACAAACAATCATTAATTCATTTATGTTTGCCTTAATTATATTTATATATATCTTAAGCAGTTAGCACTTGGTTCTGTGAGTGCCATGCCATTAATATCGACTTGATTCACACAAACATTTTTTGATAGAGAGGGGGAGACCCCTCCAGATCAAGGTAAAACACTAAAACGCTAAAAGTAAGACAAATAAGTACTCAGTTGGGGTGAACCACAACCACCAGAAAAATCCAAGGATCCCTGAGAGAAAAGAAGGGAGAGAAAAAGAACCAATCCACAAGGAAAGGACCCAGGCAGGCAAGACCTAGGCAAGCAACAGAAAAACAACAAAGGACGGAAAAGGGGCCTAAAACAGGCTCACCCTAGACCAAACCAAAAGAAAAGCACAAAACGCAGCAAACAACGACCAAAAAGGACACACACGACAAGGCAAATCACTGGACTACCAAGGAAGGGGTAGTGTCCATCTACTCAGACTCCTTAGATGTCTCGGGATCAACCTGGGAGGAAGAGATATCACTGGAAATAAATCTAGCAGTTTCGCCATCATCAGACTCAACCTCAATCACATCATCCTCATCAAGGAGGTCATCCTGATCAGGAGGATCATCCTCAATCTCAAAAGGAACAGAAGGGCCAGGGGGATAGGAGGAAGAGGACCCGGGCTCAGAAGATTGAGAAGAGTCAGCAAGGATAGAAGCGGTTAGAAGATGAAGGGGCCTTGTCTTGTTTCCGGGGGGAAGTGGGGGGTTAGAGGGTTTGGGGTGGTGTTATTTAAGGGTAATGGATTTAGAAGGAGAGACATGTCTAGAAATGGAGGGTAAACCCATATGGGAGGGATTAGTAA